GCGAACGCACACACACTATGAGAAAAGAATTATAACAATGAAAAGTGATTACAAAAAGAAAAGTCGAGGTCTACAAGCAGTCAGTTGCTGATAACCCCTTATAAGCGGTCGGCGAAATCCCCGGTGAAAACTCTGGAGTTGGGATGCTGAAAGTAACATCAATCAGCTAAGTGACAAATCTCTTAATTATTGCATATATATATATATATATATATATATATATATATATATATATATATATATATATATATATTAGCGTAGTGCATGCTGGTGGCAATAAAATAGTGCCCGGTGTATAATAACTGAGTTGATATCTATATTAATAATAAATATATATCTTCTTCCTTTTTCTCTTTCCACAGAGGCGGCAGTATGTCCGTTATACCCCGATATACCTATATTGGACATACTACCACCTCCTTAAGTAGACGCCTCACATATCCCTTATCAGATTAAAGTACTATAAAAAAACATCTAATCACCCACAGTTACAAGATTCCTTAAGGAAAATTTTGATCGAAAGGACAAAAATTCTATATAAATTAAATTACCGAAACCATCTCTCTGTTAGAGAGGCCCTGTTTATAAAAAAGAAAACAAAAAGATTGGTAATGGGGTGTTGAAGTTTTTAAATTACACTCACTTGAATTCCAGCTACGCTCAACAAGCGAAGCTTGGAATAAAGCTCCTATTTGTATTCGAAACAACACAAATCACCTCTTATACAGTCATGAAGAGAAATTAACAACACCCTAACCCCCACTCTTGAAAATGGTGAAAGAAGTGGCCAATGGACAGTATGGACAATTTGTACACTCCCTTAAGCCCAGCAAACGGAAAAAAACTAAGAATGCTGGGAAAACTAAATAAAAAGATAATAAAATTTTCCTTGCCTTTCTTTTATGATTTAAGTACTTTTGACATTTCGGCTGTTTTTCGTTCAATGGGCTTTTTTTTTTTTTTTTTTTTTTTAAAGAAGCTGCTTCCTAAAGACACAACAAAATTGCTTGACTTCCTTCTATTCTACAGTCGGATATTTATAAGTGCTATATAAATAAATATATTTTATGACACAATAACAGAATGACGGATGGCCAATAATTAATACTTTATTGCATGGAGAGTGAAGCAGGTATATGCAATAAAATATTACAACATGAAAACAGCCCGTAACTGTCCACATGAGAAGTGCAACGGTTGCCTGAAATCATAGAAACACTATATAAACGATATGTTCCTCAATATCTATCTATATCTCTGAGATGAGGTATTATGATTACTTGCATTATTTACATTATTCGGACTGTTATCCTCATCTTCATTGGCATCTTCACAACGTTTCGTCCATTGTACGCTCTGGCCTTCTTCAGGTGTTTGGAATTTCGAACCGAACCCTTTATTTCGTCAACCAGGGTAGATTGTTCTAGTTCCATGTGTCATAACACTTCCGGATGTTTCAGTTATTTCCCTTTTAACTCATCTCTCCAAGTTTTGGGTTATGCTGTGGCCTGGTATTGTGAGTTCAATACCAGGCCACAGCAGTGGCGAATCATAACCGGAAATAGAAGAAGAACAGACCAAGTGCGTTAAAGAGAGTGGAACCAGGAAAGCTAGATATATGCCCAGAATGATACAAGAAGTAGAAATAAAGATGGCGAAGCATGTGAGCTGTGTTTTATAAATTAAATAATTTCATAATCTACGTCACAAAGAGCTTTTGGAACTGCTAGGTAACTTTATATATTTAAGAAGAATATTATAATAATCTGAACCTATACTGGCAACAAAGCGCTGACCTACAGATAAAGAATGAATTCAGTAAATATACAAAAACAGAAATGGGTATGAGGCAAGGTTGTGTCTTCTCACCGGACTTATTCAACATATACAGTGAAACTATTTTAAGAGAATTAAAACTTCTACTAGGATTAATTATTGGCAGCCGCAATAATTATAAGAATATAAGATATATTAAGAAATGGACAAACCCGACAATTTATTTATTAAAGACATTTGTATGTTTAACGTTCTTTTTTATAGATACAAGTATTTAAGTAAATGCTCTGTTTATAATAAACAGTATTAAATAACATTTACCGGCCTGAATGTCCGAGAAATGTTCATAGAAAATATTCGTCCTTTGACAGGATTCGAACCTGCATCCTATACGGAACCGTCATTTATGCTGACGTGCCTTAACCGACTCGGCCACAAAGGAGCGTTCGGTAGGCAAGGTTCGAATCCTGTCAAAGGACGAATATTTTCTATGAAAATTTCTCGGACATTCAGGCCGGTAAATGTTATTTAATACTGTTTATTATAAACAGAGCATTTACTTAAATACTTGTATCTATAAAAAAAGAACGTTAAACATAAAAATGTCTTTAATAAATAAATATAAGATATGTATATGACAAAATGTTGATAACAGATGAGGAGAGGAAACCACAACAACTCCTACAGCAAGTGGTGAAGGAAAATGAAAATGAAAGAATAAACATCAATTGCAAGAAGACGGAAAACGTTTATAAGCAAATGGAAGAGCCCAAAGTGCGAATTGCAAATTGAAGATACCAGAATTAAACAAGTAAAAAAAAAAGAAATTAAATATCTGAGAAGTGTTTTAACAGAGGACGAAAAGTTCTATACTAAAATCCGAAGCTGCATTGGGATAGGGAAAGATGCCTTCCAGAAGTTAATATAAGTATTAAGAAACAGGAAAATGTTGTTAGAAACGAAGAAAACAGTAGTGAACTGTTATGTAATAACAGTGTTCCGATATGGTTGTGAATGCCGGACAATCTCTTCACATATAAAGAAGAGACTTCATGCAATAGAAATGTAATTCTGTTAAGAGTACCATGAGCTGAACATGTAAGCAATAACGACGTTTTAGAGAAAATAGGAAAAAGCTCACTTATCCATAACATCAGGAGGAGACAGTTGAAATTTCTAGGGCTCATAATGAGGAAAGAAGGCTTGGAAATTTTGATACCCAGAGAGCAGATTGAAGGCAAGTGGGGCTGAGGAAAATAGCGCATCACTAAAAAGCTTGAGTAAGTAGATGGCGAAGCAATGTTTAGGAGAGGTAACAAAAAACAAAATTTATTTGACCTCTACAAAGGACAGGAAACGGTGGAGGGCCATTATCATCCATGCGCTGAAAAAATACGGCAGATAGAAGAATACACAGGACTTTCCGGTAGACCTACACTAGCTGAAGACGACCAAATCTAAACGTTGATTAGAAATTATCCAGGTGGCACCATATACGCGACAAATCCGAGATACTCGAAATGGCTGATATCAGCGTTGAAAATGGCGGGAAATGTGCATCGTTACGATGGCTGTCTGCCTCGGGATTTAAAGGAAAAGAGATTTAATCGATTACATTTCCATCTGTGACTCTCTGCTCAAAAACAGCAAAAATAATCTATTTTGAAAAAAAGACAATGAAAAGTGGATTGTTTACCATAATATAGAGCGAAAGATGTTCAATGGAAACAAAAGAAACCATTGTTAACTACTCCAAAACGCAGTTTGCATTTGAACATGTGATGTTGTGTATCTGAGAGGTGTTGTGTATTACGAGTTCTTCCCACAAACTCATATTTGGGGTTCAGACAAGAACTGTATTCGATTGACCCATTTAAATGAAAAAAAAAAAGAGATAAAAGGCGTTAGGAATTGGCGAATCGGAAAGGTGTAATCTTCCATCAATACAGCGCCAGATGTCACGTCTGTTTGCAGATCAAGCAGAAATTGAGACAGCTTTAATGAGATATCTTACTACACCTGAACTTACACCTTTGGACTACCACTTATTTTGATGCCTGCAAAATTATCTTAATGAAAAGAACATTAATTCACGAGAAGGCAGTAAAAAGCAATTAGATGAGTGCATCAAAACGGGAAAGTTGAGAAGTTCTGTGAGGGTTTAAGTATTATGTCTCAAAGATGGCGAAACGAGAAGAAAATGGATCACACGCGGTTGAATGAATTTATGTATAAATATTTCAATATTCTCATTGAATTGAACTTGCAAAATGCTCTTAACTTTTGTTTCCAACGCAATATGATAAAGTTTAATTTATAAATTACGTCCAATAAGAGATTAACAACAATAAGTAATAATATGAATTCATTTCCCCTCGTATATGTAGGTAAACAGTTGGGTGATTTGTTTAAATTTTATTAATTCATTTATAAAACATTTTTCGTTTAAATTTTATTAATTCATTTATAAAACATTTTTCGTTTAAATTTTATTAATTTATTTCTAAAACATTTTTCGTTTAAATTTTAATTAATTTATAAAACATTTTTCGTTTAAATTTTATTAATTTATTTCTAAAACAGTTTTCGTTTGATTTAGCCTTCAAAATACATAAAAAATTGCTTTGGTCCTCGCATGGGAAAGTTTGGAAATCGCTGGTATATACATCTACGAAATTAGTTATGCCTGGCACAAGAACAAGAGACACTGATGTACAATACTTAACTGCTATTCATCGTTTTATGTTAGGTGCACTCTAAGGCATAACTTAAATTTAAGATGATTCTAAAACTTTTCAGATTTTAGAGCAAACTTGCACGTTGTTCATCTTAAAGTTCATCGGTCTGTGCTAAGTACTCTCGTATTGTAGCCTTGTACCAGACTAAGATAAACCTATTAATTATCTATTCCCATGAGAAGTTTCTGAGAAGAAATTTAGTTTGACTTGTAAGTCGGGAATAATTTCAGTCATTTCCCAAAAGAAATATCATTTCTATCAAATTTTTAGTAGGCACTAATAAAAGTCAGTAAGTAGACCACGTCTTCTGGCAAGTGACTTTGGCACTGAACACTTCCACAGAAAAAAGTCATTGACGGTAGTAAAGACTCGTTTCCGGTTTATTTCCTGATTCCAGCCCAACTGGCACCAGATCAAACAATTTGCCCAAGAGAAATAAGAAGATATCGAAGATTTTTGATTGAAATAATAGAAAAAAAAGGAGATCTATAAAAATGAAAACGGAGTGGAAAATTCGAGCAGAAAATCGAGCAGAAAACGAAGAAAAAGAGAAGAAATATGAAATGACTTAATAATAACGAAACTAAGGAAGAAGAAGAAAGAAAATGCAATTATAGCAACTAAAAAATGACATAGAAAGTATTTAATATCTACGATTATAATTTAGTACGACACCAGATCAAATTATGGATATGTGGGTGATAAGATTATATTACGTGGTTATACCAAGGAACCCTGAATACTTGTCAGTTCAGATAATTACATTATGAATCGATTCCTGCTGCTGACATTTTCAATATTTCATTCATTTTAGCTCCACAATCGCAACGTTTATGAAGAATATCATATGTTTAAATCGCCCTGTCTGCTGGAGCTTCAGAATACGCCGACTGTACCTCCCCTCCCTCAAATGAGGCGTTCTGGGTAAGACGATAAACTACATCCGATATCAAGGCCTGTGATCAAGAGGTTTTGAGGAGCGTGGAACCACCTCTTAATTGCTGGTGTTCCCAGGTTCACCCTGACCCGGGGTGGTAGTACCTGTTAGGGCCCCAGTTATGGGCAAATAGTTAACCCCAAACTTGGATCAAGACACTATGAAAGTGTAAAAATAGATTTTCATACCAGCAATACATTTTTGTAAACAATTATTACCAGCAATAAACATTTTTGAAAAAAAATATTACCAGCAATACATTTTTGAAAAAAAGTTACCAGCAATACAGTTTTGATTGAAAAATATTATCAACAACACATTTTTGAAAAAATATTACCAGCAATAAAAATCTTGTCGGAATTATATAACCCATTGAGGTTGATATCCCGTAAAACAAACCAAACCAAACAAGTTTAAATCGGGGATTTGGAGTAAGCAATAAAGAAAGATTGCCCTCGAAAATATTTTAAATACGAACCTTCTGTAGTCTTCAGAGTTAGTATCCCAAATCCTGACTTTTATATGGAGTTGAAAAGTGACAATGGGACAATATGCAACTATGTCCGTCTCGAAGCAAGTTTGGAGTTGAGAGCTCGGTGAAAATTGTAATGTGTAGTAAATATCAATAAAACAAAGGAATTAAACAAAAAATAAAATATAGTAATAAATAAAATAAAAGTAAGAAAACTAAAGATGTAGTAAAAAAGGAAATAAAGAACGAGTTAATGTGAGGGAAAAGGAAAGGTCCGAAAAACAAAAGGAAAATATAAAAAAGAAATGAAGCAAATTGTATGAAGAAGAAGAAGAAGAAGAAGAAGAAGAAGAAGAAGAAGAAAAGTTAAAGAGAGAGAAACAGGATAGATACTAAAAGAAAACAGGGAAGAAAAAATGAGGTAGGAAAGTAAAGCGGTTTAAGATAGATAATGGTAATTTCGTCAGATAGGTAATAGAAAAAGGCAAAACGAAAGTAAATGAAATTTGCGGAAATGAAAGTGAAACTGAAAGTAAACTGACAGGAACCGTGTGAATAGGAGTAAAGGACAAATTAACTAGTAAGTGGAAATAATAAATCGATTTCATATTCAGAATGCAGACCATCCGGTGTCATTTTTCGCCTAGTAAAGATTAGAAATTCAAATTTCGCCAGCTTTTTGTTTCAGCGCCGGTCATTCTGAAATTATATTTTGTGAGTTACAATGTAACACAAGATAATGACTATACTTGTATAATATAATTCAAAATACATTTTTTCATTTATTTCACAAAAAGTGGGTGACAGCATGAACGAGTATTATTTTCGGTGACGTTCTTAGTTAAACACATATACCATATACACCCTTTGGCAAATTAGTTAAAACAACCGCTTTAGTTTTCCTTATTTCAACATACGGTCAGTTTTAGACCCACTAGAGTGACAGGATGTAATCGATTTTTATTTTTTCCTCAGATTAGGTCATTTCCAGTGGTGTACAGTAATATGAATCTATCTTCGGGGTGAATGATGAAATTTGTTTGGCCTTGAAAAATATTGCGTCATCCATGATTGTATGAGATTTTTATCACACCCAGGCACTACTGTCTCGACTGTCGATTATTTGTCCTAAGGTCATTGTCTGCGATAGACGTTACTTCAAGGAAGCGTACGAAAATTCTAGCGCTACACAAACACAATGGTAAGCATTAGCAGTGAGCAAATGAAAGTACTATAGACTGGTCCGGAAACTCTCCTGATTTAAATCCAATCGGAAATCTGTGGTTAATCAGCAAGGAAAGACTTCGTGGAATGGACATACGAATTACTAATATGTGCACTGTGTCATGTTTCATTGGACAAATATGAATACAAAGTAAATAATAACGGAATTATTCGTTTTATTTCAATTTGCACAAGGGTGTAGGAGTTTTATTGTAACGTAAAGATGCAACGGATATCGAGGAAGAAAAGTGGAATCGGAGAGTTGAGTTCAAATTCCGAACTCGTCTTTTGGCAAAAACACTCTTGGGAAAGGTATCAATCCGAAATCCATCACTTCTCTTTCAATGTAGGGTGCCAGGGTAGACTGGGATCTCTAGCTTTGCATCCCATCGGGTCTAACAGAAAAAAATCTGGAATACCAACTCGTAATGGGGGGTAGCGGAAAACCACTCCACTATCTTTCCGAAATGACATGGAATAATTTACAGGTAATAAAAGTCACGATTGCCTCCATTCTGAAATTCCTGAAAGGAATATAGAACGTCAGAAAAATTTTCCATTGAAATAGCAACAGAGTAGAGATAAGCTTTATTTTATTCCGTGTTATGGGTATAAATACTTAACACCAGGTGGATAATAGAAGAAAGGTTTATTGTACACAACAAGTACAATATGAAATACAGTACAGTTGTACACACAGGTCAATCTAGTAGTGAGTGCCACTAATTGGAAGGCCGGATGTGCTTGCGTCATTTCTCTCACTCTTCCTCAAGTCTCTTGTGGATAGTTGACTTTATAAGTACTTACTACCTACAGTGTAATCATTCATGGGGTGACTGGTTATTCCATTACATCAGGCTTAGTACCTAACATTTGTGGTAAAAAGGAATTTATAGTAGAAAAGGCCCAAGAACCATTCAAGATAAAGGGTTATTGAATAGTGTTGTTTTACGTAGGAAGAATTGTAGATTATGAGGATGTGTAGGCTAGATAACGGTTGGCATTAGATTTGAAGTGCTTAAGATTGTAATGGCCTAGGGAAGCATCCTCTCGTGAGTCTGTTCCACACGGTAGCGGTCATTGGGGAATTTTCCTTATGAAATTTGCTTCTAATCAATGGAATAAGAAGAGTATGAGGATAATTCGACTCTGTGTGGATGTAATTCTACCAATGCAAACCCACTTCTTTTACAGGCACATCGTAATAGTGGAGTCGGGGTCTGGCTCACACCCAAAATTATTTTCTCCCCTCTTTGAAGATAATTTTAGTGTGAACACTCTTACTTGCTCTCCCTCGACTGCAAAGCTGTCCATTCCAGTAAAAAAAAAAAAAAAAATGGCGACGTGTCTGGTTGTGAAGAATTTTGCCTCTCTTTCCAAACAATGCTACCCACTGATACAGCTATGATTCTATTTGAATAAAAATTCTTTCTACACTGTTGAATAACAAAGGAGACACTTTTCACGAGACTTTGCAAAGACCTGTATTTAACAACGGACAAATTAAATTAATTTTTTCTATAACCAAATATGAAAAATCTGTGTTAATGTAATTAAAATAAAATGGCCACATCGGGAAAGGAAATACTTTTTACAATTAACCATTTCTTTCATTATGTCGTTGAAATTTAAAGAGAATCGATTGGTCTGGTCAAAGATACGAATTTGTGAATCGGTCAACTTATATTTCAAGCATTAATGTTAAGACTTCACCTGTAGGAAGAGAGAATTTATGGTCATAAGTAAAATGGGCAGCTCAAAATGTGCACTACAAATAGGAGATGTTAAAATAAAGCAACTACAGAAACATTGGGAAATGTTATTATAGAACGTTGAAAATATGAACCCTGAATCCAAGGGCGTATTGAAGTAGCGAAAGATGTTTTCCAGAAATTAAGCAAATTTTTAAGAAACAGGAAAAATACGTTGGAAACAAAGAGTCATTCAGTTATGTGCCATGCGTGCTATACGCTTAGGCGACCATCTATTTTTCGACACATGACTGACGAGGCAGATTTTTTTCCCGCAGTAGGTTGCCATTTCTTTTGCGGTAGACCAGTTGCCATCCAAGGCTATAGAACCCAGTGTGTCTTGCTATTTACCCATAGCTGGGAAGAGAAGAAGTGGATTCATACATTTCCCAAGGGCATTAGCACGCAAGTGAATATAAGTGATTCGACTGGAATTTGAACTCGGCTCTCCGACTCATCAGTCTGAACCGCTATCCATTGTTTTTATTTAAGATCAAGGCTCCTATATGGCAGTGAATGCTGGGTATTTTTTTCACAGATGTGGTTTGAGGCAACAGTTGGTTTTGTTTGGTTTATTTTGTTTTACGGCATATCAACCTCAATGGGTTACTTAATGCCGACAACATTTTTAGGATAGATTCTTATGAATAGAATATATATTCTTTGGTTTAGATTGGTTTGGTTTAATTTGTTTTACGGCATATCAACCTCAATGGGTTATTCAATGCCGACAACATTTTTAGGATAGATTCATATGAATAGAATATGTATTCTTTGGCTTAGATTGGTTTGGTTTAATTTGTTTACGGCATATCAACCTTAATTTTTACGGCATATCAACCTTTAATGCTGACAAGATTTTTATTGCTGGTAATATTTTTTTTTCAAAAATGTATTGCTGGTAATATTTTTTTTAACAAAAATATATTGGTGGCAATATTTTCCTTTTTCAAAAATGTACTGCTGTCAAAAATGTATTGCTGGAAATAATTTTTCCAAAAAGTATTGTTGGTATTAATACCTATTTTATACTTTCATAGTGTTTTGACCACTTTTTTTGGTGGTGGTGTGTGTGGGGGGGTAACTTGTTACCCATAGCTGGGTCTCTGACAGGTGCTAACACACTCCTCAAAACCACCTGATGAAAGGCTTTGATATCGTTTTTTTTTATCGTGTTACCCAGGATGTAGTTTATCGTCATATCCGGGACGCGGCAACTGATGGATACTGAGAATACCGTGGGCAGATCATGTAAGCAACAAGGAAATTTTAAGAAAAATAGGAGCGAAAAATGACAGTTGTACTTAGGACCAGAAAAAACACAGTTACCTAGGACATGAGAAAATGAAGACAAAGAGAATTTGACACTAACAGAATATAATGGAGGCTGGAGGGACACAGATGAAGAGATTTTGTGTAAATGGACGGAAATGGAATGAAATAGTAAAAAGACAAACATTTACTTATGCTACATGGGATAGGAAGTTGGGAAGAGCCATGATCGCCCATATCTGACAGGTGACGAATGACTGGTATCTGTACTATTAATATATACCATTTATTTCATGTACTATTCATTATCTACTATTGTTATCTATTATGCTTTTCTGTATCTTGATGTTATGTTGAGGACTAACCGTAATCAGTAAAAAAAATATTGCCTCATGGAAGTCAATTTCGTTCTAAATTACCATTTTAAACATGCCCATCAGGCTTCGAAACTTCATTTCGCCCAGTCAACGGAAGGAGTGAATGACATGGCCAGACCCGTACGTAGGCTAGGCTAGGAAACGACGGTTGGATACTATGCAAATCACGTCCTCTCGATATTACGCCAAAGCTTACGAGTAAAAGTAGTAGGAAGCGCGCCTAGCGAAATCTTCAAAGGCTCGATCGTCGGGAGAATCCGCCATGTTTGTTCGTAACACACGTTGTTCAATGATAACGCACTCAGAATTAAATTTATTAATAATAGTTAATTGTTGAACAAAGTTATTATCAGAAACTTCTGTTGTCGATAGAAGACAAAACAGTCAAGGATATACATTATTTACATTATTCGGACTATTGTCCTCATCTTTTCTCGCCATATTTATTACAACGTTTCGGCCGTTTCACGCTCCGTCCTTCAGGTGGTTGGAATGTCTAACTGCACCCTTTATTTCGCTCATTGTTCTAGTTCCAAGTGCCATGTTTAATGGATATCAGTTATCAGTTATCTCCTGTTAATTTTCCCTCTGAAAGTTCTCCACGGCCTTAACCGGGTATTGAACTCACACTCTTTGGGTCCTGTCACTGGATCTAACCAACGCCTTTATCCACTGTGCCATATGCCCTTGAGGAACCTTTGTAATAAATATGGCGACAAAGATGAGGACAATAGTCCGAATAATGTAAATAGTGTACATAATACCTCATCTCAGAAATATAGACAGATACTGAAAGGCCGAAACGTTGTAATAAATATGGCGACAAGCTGAAGACAATAGTCCGAATAATGTAAATAATGTACATAATACCTCATCGCAGAAATATAGACAGATAATGAAATGCCGAAATGTTGCAATAAATATGGCGACAAAGATGAGGACAATAGTCTGAATAATGTAAATAGTCTACATAATACCTCATCTCAGAAATATAGACAGATAGTCAAGGATATAAGTAAGATATCTGGCCAAAGTAAAGAATAAATTGATAGACAAAAGCAATTTCCAATATAAAACTGAAGGTGAATCCTTCATTGTAAAGGTAATGTTTTGATGCCATTGAGAGTAATGTGATGAAGTGTTATCTCCCCTGATTTTTACATACGAAGATAGAAAATGAGTGTAGATATTTAGTCATCGATGATGTGACCATGAGGTATATTCTATTGGGTTACATGTTACCATCAGCATTCGTGATCTGATACAAACACCATATTTAACAATCCGTTAGTTTTGTGGGACATTGTCACTGCATTAGCACCGTGGGGTTTTCAAATTCTCCATTTAAAATATTATTTTCTTTAGATAGCAGAATATCTTGGCCAACGTGTTTTAAAATATCCTTTTATGTTTGATATAAACTTCTGAAATATATAAACACAACAGATTCATTTTTACAAATTTCAGTTTTTGCTTACCTTTGAATGACGCCTTTGAAAACCACCTGATTTTCAAATTTGCTACTGTTCGGTTTAAACGTAACAACAAAATGTTATCGCTTCAGCATATACACATAATATTTAATAAGTTTTGCTTAGACTACAGAAGACAATTATCTCCCTTTCGTGAAGATAAATTTTATGGAGTACGTGGTGGTCGCTTAATGACGTCACTTCATACAGAGGCGAGAGTTTACAGCAGCCAAAGCAAGCGGTTGCTTTTTTTTAAAGCCTGGGCCAAGAGGAGCAGACTGAGGCTCAATCTGCCTCCCCCAGTAAATGTTACAGTTTACAAGTCCCTGTGCCGTTTCCCTTTGGGAATATATATATTTCCCAGATATAGAAAGAAAATTCGGCTCGCAGTCCTCAATTTGGGAAAACCCAACACTTACCGTTTCCCTTTGGTGAAATATGTCCTCGACTGGGACATAGTAAATGATTCCGGTCCGTTTGATTCCGGAGTATGGCTTCTTCAGAAACATCAAAATCTATATATTATATATAAAACCCATCCTTTTCCTATCTCCTTGCACTCTACTTTGCTGTGTGATATATTTTCAGCGTGGGACACTTGGATATATCTATATATAATTTTGTGTATGTCTTAGTAGTATAAAAGTCATTTTTGTCATTTCTTTTCTTTTTGGTCTTTACATTTGTCCGTGAAATAGTGTTATTAAATTACGGATATAATAGTGCTCATAATAGGCGAAATTCAAACAGGAGAAATAATCTTCCATAGCTCTCTCCCATGATAATGTCAATAATCAAAATAAAAATACCTAAATATAACAGATGTTATTGGGCAGAGGTGTAAATTAATTCCTTGAGAAATGATTTTAAAGACACCAAAACGATTTTAATATGTTTATAAGCAGAAATGCAATAATTAATTGGTAAATCATAGAGAGCATACTTTTTCTCAAAGAATATTTTAACAAGGACATCTGGAGGCAATAAAATTTTAGTTAAACTCTGGTCCGAATTGTGTTGTAGATATCGATTGCTTTCGCTGTCGCGATGAGAAAGAAGCAAGATTTTTCTATTGCGCAAAGACGTGTTTAGCATTTGAAAGACCATATTTGTTGGCCGCTCAAATGATCGATAACATGAGTAACGCTTTAGATTTACATATATTAGCCATCTACCTCGATACATATGGACATTATCTACTTGACTACCGACAGAAACATTTATGCATAAAATATGTATTATATATATATATATATATAAAGGACAAAGTCCGACAATTATTTTAAGACATTTTTTTATATGTTTATACGTTCTTTTTTATAGATACAAATATTTAAGTAAATCCTCTGTTTATAATAAACAGTATTAACAACATTTACCGACCTAAATGTCCGAGAAATTTTCATAGAAAATATGCGTCCTCCGACAGGAATCAAACCTGTATCCTATACGGAACCGTCATATAGCCTGACGTGATTTACCGATTGAGCCACAGAGGAGCGTTTCGGTTAGCAAGGTCGATTTTACTGTTTTTAAACTACAATTCCCCATGATTTTCTCTCGTATATTCATATCTGCTTGATGCGTATCCAAAAGTAAACAAATGACGTCACACATTATGAACTAGGCAAAGTCCGACAATTATTTTAAGACATTTTTTTTTGTTTGATTGTAGCTTGTTTCTTCTTGGACTGGTGAAACTAAAGAATGGAGCTCATTGCCATGGGAATAGCGATTGGGTAGAAGATGGCTTGTGGATAAGTCCTGTATCACAAGAGGGCGCAACTGATTTTGAACTCTATCAAGGCTGGAATGTGGTGAATGAGCAGTTCTAATCGAGATATGACAACGAAACTCTATTTCCGGGTTAATCTGGCTCTTGCGAAGATAAAACATGACAGCACGAGTCAGGTAGCCACAGAATGATCTGAGCAATTGTCCAGCTTGTTAGGCGCAATGGATAGAATATATGAGTTTCACTTGCTGTCTGCAGTGTATTTGACTGGACCGGACTGGACTTCAGATCCAACAGACGTTCATAGAATGGAGTCTCGTTGAGAATACAAACGTTTATCGTGATTGAAGAAAGGTTCAGGATCTAATCGATAATGGTGAATATGGAGATAGGTATTAGTTTGATCTTCGAAGTATTGAAAGCAAATGCCCAAAGCATTATAGCACAAAATGATAAAGGAACATAAAAATAACTATAATAGGTTCTTGTGATTATATATATATATATATATATATATATATGAGAATGGAGTTATACAGTGAGAGAAAAAGAGAGAGAGTGAGAGAGAAAGAGAGAAAAAAATAAAGAGTGAAGAACAGAGGGAGGGAAAGAGAAAGAGAAATAAAGAGTTAGAGACAGTGATGGAGAAAGAGAGAGATAAATAAAGAGAGAGGGAAATAACGATAAAGAGAAAGAGAGAGATATCAAAAGAGAGTTAAAGAGAGAGAAATAAAAAGAGAGGATCAGACAGAGTGAAATAGAAAGAAATAGAGAGAGGGAGAGGGACATAGAGAGAACTGTATAGATAGAGAGACAATAAGAGAGAAAGAGAGAGAGAGAAATAAAGAGGGAGGAACAGAAAGAGAGAAATTAAGAGAGGAATAAGGAGAGGGATAGAAAGAGAGAAAATGAGAGATATAAATAGAGAGAGAATTTGAAAGAGAGAGAGAGAGAGAGATAAGAGGAACAGAAAGAGGGGGAAGAGGGAGAGGGATAGAGAGAAATGTAGGGTGCTGGTCAAATCTAACAAGATCATTTTATTTTTATTAATTTATATTTTTCCGAATTAAAAGCCTGGACGAGGTTAAGCTTAGTGGTCGGGAATGTTGTTCATGATGACGTCGTCTTTGAGTATAGAATCCAGAGGTTAGCAGTGAATATTTCGAAGACAGTAGGGAAGCGTATTTCAGGTTAGCAGTGGATATCCCGGTAAAAGTAGCAGAGCGTAGTTCGTCCTTCTGTTTCTCTTCGCCTGACAAGCTGGAACTAGACATTCGGGTAGGGTAAACAAAATGGCCGCCTTTATACACGACGGATTGAATATTCTACGTCTTCTGATTGGTTAAACTTCTATTGGTGGACTATAAAGTGAGTCAAGTCATTTGGGCTAGCTCACTAGTATATATATTCACAAAAAACTGCAACAGGGAAAGCACCCTAAGTCGGTTTCACAAAGTAGCTATTCATGAGCAGAAGCTGTTCCAATCAAACTTACATCTCATCAGTGGAGTACAAAGGGAATGAGGGTGGTTCGGTACTAAGACAGAGGAAAGATCAACTGTCAGGATTTGGTCATCTACAGTTTTGGATGTGCAGACATATAAAGTTGTACTATCAGCATAGATATCCACAAAGGATCGCAGTATCTGTGCAAATCACGCGAAAAGAAAGGATCTATCTCAATATACGTGTCACCGGCTAAAGATTCCTTGCACGCAAACACTGCCTTTTAATTTAGAACTGAGTTTCATGTTGGTGAATTTTTATAAACTCTTAATTCTGCTACTGCCAGTTTCATGCACTAATTGAATTAGGAATTAGAAGGAACTGTATTAATATGAGTCAGCTGCGGTCATGTTAAATTGAAAACACTGTTGTAAAACAAATCATTTACTTTCGATCGATGATTATCAGTAAGTAAAGTCGACTTCAAATTACAGAGAAAGATGCTCATAGTGAAAGAAAGTCATAGAAGGAAGATTAATTACCTTTTTCGACGAAGATGGCAAGACAAAGAAAACTGTTATCTATAAAACTGGCCATCCCGCAAAAAAGCACAGAGAAGAAAAGAAGCTGGCCGCGCAGAACGGACATAGAAGACGGACGCTGGTCTGTTCACTTCCCAATGTACCCAATTTAATTTATATTCTTTTTTTTTTATTTCCTTAATCTTTGTTATTAAATATCCAACATTGAGATAACAGAAGATCTGCCAAGATAGTTGAAACGTTGTAAGACGTGGATGCAATTTTTTCGAGCCAATCCTTATTGCAGGCTCTCGCTCTGGCACATTTGTGTTTGTTCAACACCTACAGAGTCAATCTGAGGTTTATACAGCAACTATGCTGAGCAGACCTTAGTTACAGTTTGTGGGAGAGAGCATGTTATCTAGAATGATCAACAACACCAGCACACTCAAACCCTCGCACAGCTAAGAGTTCCGTCTACCCAATTTCACTCACAAGTCTTGTGGCAACCCGTGGTATGGTTTTCAAGCACTTTCCAAATGTGCCGCGCGCTGGGATCGTCCAACTCCAGACTGATAACATCAGAAGTCTCCTTTCTGACAAATCGACCATGGTGAGATTCGAACCTGATCAGAAGGTGAACGTTCTAACGACTCGGCCACGAGCCCATATATATATATATATATATATATATATATATATATATATATATATATACTAGTAAGGTTTGTCAAGAGGGCCCGCTTTTCTATTTTGGAATATTGTATAAGCCTTTTGTTTCGCTTTGAATATGAATGGAAGGGCTTGAAATTATTTTCAATATATTTCTCCTCTTCGTGTAAATATTCAGGGCTGCAAATTCTGATTGCTCTTCAGTAGAATCCAATGATCATTTAGGATTCTATTTTATTGTTGTGATGGGAATAGATATTTATTAGAACAATTTTTCATTAGGTGCATTAACGTAAACGATCCGCCAAGTCTGATGGTGTCCTAAAGGAAGAAAAACATCACACGAAAACGTTTTCCACTTTGTCGTATATATATAGGAATATATAGTATATATATGTAGTAGGAAATACTAATACTATTTCTACACGTACACACACACATATACAATTCTTATACATTTAACATTTTGGAATTGCCACAAAGGTCCACCAAAAATAGAATTCCTGACACTTGAACTAATTTGTTATCATTATCCATAATCAGTGAACCACGTGACTATAATTTTTGACAACGAAATTTTCTGATCAGCAAGATTTGGCGCAAAAATTACTAATAAGTAATAATAAATAAGCAATCAGATTGCATTTAAACAGATAGGTATCTGAGCCACTTTTTGCATAAAACAGAAAACATTCTCCAACTTCATTTCGATGTGAGGCTTATCACGGCGTAACCACGCGTCTCCTCATTTCAATTTAAGTTTTGAAAATCATAGAACTGAGAAAGCGTTAAAACTATTCTAAAAATATCTTTAATGTATCCCGTTTCATTTTCAAGTTTTTTTCATATATATGTATATATAGCATAATATTTGACAATCTTTTGTGCATATCTATATTAAGGTAGATTGAAAAAGATATTTATGCAAAAGAATTCAATTTTGCCTCCATTTTTGTATTTACATATAATTTCATATATATGACATAAAACCAGATATCATTACACAAAAATATCTAACGCTACATATAAGCGTTCGCGTGCACATGCACGCACATAAATATATTTTCTATTCTCTAACCGTCCTCTCAGGTTTCACCCTAAATTTATCACGAGGAAAATTAAAGCGTATAATTCAAACCTTTTAGTGGAATAAACAAATTCATGAAGTATTTAAAGACAGTGGAAAAAGAAATGACGCAGTTCTGAAAATAGAATTGCTCACGGCTAACTTTATTTACCGTTATCAGAATATTCAATTTCTTCAAATTCACGACATTCCTCTTCACCTTCAGAAAGTCTGATGGCCATGTTAACTCGACGAATGCTTAATGCAAGTGCTGTTATAAATTTATACCTTGTGTATAAGGTACAAAATACGATTATAAATCTGCGCGATATAATAGTAAAATACTGTCTAATATGTTATAGAATTATTTTGTTTCCGAAGCGTTCTTTCATGCACATTTCATTGAATATGACAGACAAGGTGTTTTTATTTAATTTGTTATACAATTTCTCATACGATCTAATAATTTTTTTCTTTTTACGTAAAAGAGGTTGTATTTTGCTTTTAAATCTAAATAAATCGTTCATTCGTCAGTAATTTACAATCGGCTGATAAGATGCATTGATACGCATCGAAACACAACTGCAATTGTGTAACGATTTTGACAAGTTTTAGATGTAAAATCCTTATATATATATATATATATATATATATATATATATATATATATATATATATATATAGTAGCCAGCATAATGATCAGAACGATGTTAAGAAAAAGTCTAAATGTGAAATAACTTTTTATTTTAAAGCCTCAAAGAACATTTTATGAAGGAAAAATAAGGAAATAAATGTAAATTATAGAATTCCAAAATATAAAGCTCAATAAACTGATTTTGATAAAATTATAAGAATAATTATAGAACATTAAAAAAAATAGATGATCAAAAACATCAGAACGATTAAGTAAATCCATAAAATTTAATAATTATTTTGCATTATTAAAAATTTTTTAGGGTAAGAATATAAAATAGGGTATTTTACTAAATTACACCGACTCTTTACTGGCTCTTTCATTGTCAACATGGCGAAAAAAATATGTGACGTCATTGAAACTTAGAAAACTGATAGTCAAGTTATGTAATGAAGATAAACTCTCAATTGGGGATATTTCAAAGACAGTGGGGAAATCTAAGTCTTATTCATAGTATTTTAAGAAAGCTTGAGGCAACTGGATCATGTGAAGCCAAGAAACTACCTGGCAGGCCTAGGGAAACTACTGCAAAGGGAAGACAAATGGATTGGTAATTTTGGAGGCTCAAAAAAGGATCGATTTACGACAGCAACTGCTATCCTTGGCATTAAAATATCAAGGCACACTATTTCCCGAAGACTTAATGAAATAAATTTGAATCGTCGAGTAGCCTTACATTTCTAAAAAGAACCAAATGAGCCGATTGAAATTTGCCACTGAATTCGTATATGGACAGAAGAACAGTGGGATTGTGTTCATTTCAGCGATGAGTCAAAGTTTAACATGTTTGGTTGTGATGGGAGAAGGTTCGTTCGACGCAGTCCTAAGGAACGATATTCGCCTCAGGGCTCTAAAAGTAACGTTAGATTTGGAGGAGGAATTCTGATGGTGTTTGGTATGATTTCAGCTGCTGGTACTTGACCTCTGTTAGGCTACACGTTAAAATTAACGCAACTGTATACAAAGAGACACAAAGAAACATGTTGTATCTAATTTGAGAACTGCAATTAAACAACCAATTGTATTTATGCAAGATAACGCGCCGTGTCACATAGCGAAGTCTGTTAAGACATTTCTTTCTGAGTAGGATGTTACTGTTATGGAGTGGCCTGCTCAAAGCCCAGATATGAATCTTATTGAGAATGTGTTATACCGGGACATACCTATTCTACTGTTAATAGACTCTCCCACAGATAATAATTATTAGTAGTAGCAGTCGCCAGGGGGCTCAGAGTGGAGTTGGTGTGTCAGTCGATGTCGGGCATTAAAGTATCAACCACCACAACTAGATTGGTGCGTCATTAGCTATTAATTCAAGTTCCTAACGTTTTGTACGTCGAACCCTTTTAGGATCGACTTAGTGAAATACAAGCCTCCACTGTGAAAACGATACTCTACAACAGAATGTTTTGAAGTTACTAAATGAAAGAGCTAAGGAAAAGAATCCAACAAACGTCGAAGATCTATGGACTAATTTGAAAGGAGAATGGGAGAAAATATCCGTTAATGAATGCAAGACATTAATTCGGTCATGTAGCAAAAGATGTCAAGCTGTTATTGAAAGTAAAGGTCTACACGTTAAGTACTAATGAATTATGAACGCTATTTTCATTTAGATATGATGTATCCATTATAATAGTATGATTTTGTTAATCGTTCTGATGTTTTTGATCAGCTTTTTTTTTCGAATGTTATATAATTATACTTATAACTTTATCAAAATAAGTTTATTGATCTTTATATTTTGGAATTATATAATTTACCATAGTATCCTTATTTTCCCTTGCTAAAATGTTCTATGAAGCTTTAAAATAAAATGTTATTTCACATTTAGACTTTTCTTAACTCCCTCCACCAATCGCTAACACAAACCCACTTTCATTAACAAGGCGCCTACTAGAGGAGGAGTGACTTTGAAAATAAATTTAGAACAATGCTCCGAGACAAGTATTTAGAGGCTGGCGATAACCGTGTGAAGAACGGTTTGAGACTATAACTATGTTGAGGTAATTTTTGTTTTTTTTACTACATATATATATATATTACCATAGTATCCTTATTTTCCCTTGCTAAAATGTTCTATGAAGCTTTAAAATAAAATGTTATTTCACATTTAGACTTTTTCTTAACATCGTTCTGATCATTATGCTCGCTACTCTCTCTCTCTATAAGGATATACTGTACACATACAAATAAATTCCAAATTACATAAGAATACAGTGGGGATGTATGTGTACTTATAGTGGCATATATGCATGAGCTTGTAAATGTACACATATATGTATGTATGACGATATGTACACATATACATCTTTTGGACAACATGAGTTATTTCACTGGCTGCTCTGGTATTATCCACAATCTATAACTCAGCTAATTTATATTAATCTTAACCGACTTAAGTCTAAATACCCCATCGCTTAGTAGTACAAAAAGTATTTACACTTAATCCCAGAAAAAAAAAACTCGTGGGCCTTTATAGAAAAAAACACCACATAGTAAGAACTGATATTAAACTGCAAACAAAAATCCTGGCCATAAATAAACTTCAACTCCAGACCGCTTTCACCGGGATAAGATAACTTACTCCCTCCACCAATCGCTAACACAAATCCACTTTCATTAACAAGGCGCCTACTAGAGGAGGAGTGACTTTGAAAATAAATTTAGAACAATGCTCCGAGACAAGCATTTAGAGGCTGGCGATAACCGTGTGAAGAACGGTTTGAGACTATAACTATGTTGAGGTAATTTTTGTTTTTTTTACTACATATATATATATATATATATATATATATATATATTGCTAGTCTAAAAAAAACTCCTGAGCCGACCAAGCATAGAAATAAATACAATGTGGGAACCAGTAATGAGGAGTGCCAGAGAAAATCAATAATAACAAAGAAAATTGCAATATGAGCACTGGTAAAACATGGATGCTGAAAACATCAGAAATTCACCATAGATGTCCTCAAGGACACATTTCACTGTTGAAAAAGGCGTTAGTTAGATCCAGTGATAGGAACCAAAGAGTGTGAGTTCAATACCTGGTTGAGGCGGTGGAAAACTAGGAGAGGGGAATTAACAGGAGGTAACGGATAACTGACATCCATTAAACATGGCACGTGGTACTAGAACAGTCTACCCCAGCGAGTGAAATAAAGGGTTCAGTTCGACATTCCAATAACTTGAAGAAGGTCGGAGCGTACAACGGCCAAAACGTTGTGATAAATATGTGATAAATATGTCAACAAAGATGAGGATGATAGCCCACACAATGTAAATAGTGTACATAATACCTCATCTCAGAAATACACACACACACACACACACACACACACACACACACACATATATATATATATATATATATATATATATATATAAGCGTTTCGCCCCAGGCAAGGCTGGAAGTCACTAGGACGCAAGGGGTTACAGAAAATTTGGAGCAAGATCAGATAGGAGTGATAGAAGAAAGGATGAGGAGACGGGTAGTGGATAGATCAAGGCAACTGGAGATGTCGATTGACATTACATTTGAATAGTTGGAGATTATAGCTCTCAGGGAAACAGGAATAGGGAAGGGAGTTCCACAGGCGAGAGGTGCGAGACATGAAGCTATTGAGTAGAAGAGACGGCTATATTTAGGAGTTTCGACAGTGAAGGGGTGAGAGCGGGATGCCAGCCTCGTAGGGCGCTTGAACTCATGAAGTCTGGGAACCAGCGAATGCAGCTCCTCGGAGCAATTGCCATGAAAGTATTTGTAAAGCAGACAGAGAGAGGCGACGGCGCGTCTGTGAGAAAGTGACTGTAGACGAGATGCCAGAGCAGGGCCAATTATATTGCATATCCGCCTCTGGAGCCTATCAAGAACCCCGAGGCAAACAGAAGGGGCTCCAGATCATATATGGCAACAATACTCCATGCAAGGGCGAATTGTTGATTTGTAGATCTGGAGGATCGATTCCGGGGAGAAAAAATTTCCTGGCGCGGCACAGGAGCCAACTTTCCTTGCGGTGGACAAGCAATTGACTCAATGTATTTATTCCATTTCAGGTCAGCCATCAACGTGAGACCGAGCAGCCGTAGAGAGTTGCTCTCGAGAAGTTGAGCGTCAGATATTCTAATGGAGGGCATGGAAGGATCTCTGTGGTGATTAATAGAGAGCAGTTTTGTTTTTGTAGCATTAAAGTTGACCAGCCAATTCCTGCCCCAGTTCACAACTGATTGGAGGTCCTTTTCGAGACGCACGGCCAGGTTAGTTTTGTCAGTGACACTAGATTTGTTTTTGAGGCAGGAATAAATTGTGGTGTCATCCGCGTAGATGCCAGCTTGGGAAATTATGGCGTCAGGAAGTCATTTATGTAGATAAGGAATAGAGTGGGGCCTAGGATGGAGCCTTGAGGAACACCCGCGTATTTGTATATTTAGGCAGCAATCCTTCTTTCATGCACATTTCATTGAATACAACAGACAATGTGTTTTGTATTTCGTTTTTATACAATTTCTCATGCGATCTAGTAAAACATACAACAAACTATTTCTTATTTAACAGTTAAGCTATTTAATCCTTGAAAATGGCTAAATCTTTAGCCAAAAGCGTTCGGATAAAAAGAACATTCGGACAGTTTTTGTATAATTTATCATCGAAAAAGAAAAAAAAAATTAGATAGCATGAGAAATTCTATAAAAGACTAAATAAAAGCAACTTGTCGGTCGTATTCAATGATATATATATATATATATATATATATATATATATATGAATCTATGTGTGTATGCGTGTGTGCGCGCCTTTCAAGAAAATGTCCATTTCTTACACATGGTAATTACATATAAAATATCCTGGTCAAGTGTTAAGACGACTATACTTACATATGTAGCCAATTCTTTAAGAAAGATTCTTTTGTGTCAGGCTTGAATTCGATATTCTAGTTCGCTTGATGTGCAGTGAGTCGTGCCTTTGGTGCCGACCATTTTCTGCTGCTCGAATCGTCTTCACTGCTTTCCATGGCAGGCGAATAATAATTGCAAAAGCCGAGATAACGCCAGGTTAGTGAAACTGATAACTTTTGATCAACGCGCGATGCTCTCCTAATCTAACGAGCTGATCATTCAGTTATCTAACGCCTTGACTGACCACTGCGAGCGGCATTGAATGGATACTTGCTTCAGAAGGCAATATCGGAAACAAGTCTTTAAATCGCCGACGACTTTCTATGTGCCTGTGTGTGTGTGTGCGTGAAAGAGTGAGAGAGAGAGAGAGAGAGAGAGATAAAGAGTGAGAGAGGAAGGGGGAAAAGAGACGGAAAGAAAGGAAGAGATGAGAAAAAGAGAAAGAGGACAAAAAGAGAAAAAGAGAATGGCAGTGTGTGAGAGAGCAACGTAACAATAGAGAGGAGAAAAGGGGTAGAAAGACTGGAAAAGGAGATTGAGTGTGCGTGAGAGAGAACGTGAGAGGTATTGAATAGATATTTGCTTCAGAAGGTAGTCGTTAAATCGCTGACGAGAATTTTACATATATATATATATATATATGTGTGTGTGTGTGTGAGAGAGAGAGAGAGAGAGAAAGGAGAAGAGAGGAAAAAGAGAAAAAAAGGAATGAGAATGCGTGAGAAAGAGAAAGAAAGATGGCAGAAAAACAGAAAGAGAGAGAGGGAGAGGGAGAGAGAAAAGTGGGTAGAAAGAGAGAAAGAAAACGTGAAAAAGAAAGAGGGGAAAAAGGCAGAAAAACAGAGAAAGAAAATGAGAATGTATATGTAAGAGAGAGAGAGAGAGAGAGAGAGAGAGAGAGAGAGAGAGAGAGAGAACAATGAAGCGAAGAAAAAGTGTAGAAAGAGAGTGAAAAAAAGAGAATGATAGAGAATAGGAGAGACTGAGGGAATCAGACAGCGCTCAATTCAGCTTCATTCAAATATAAAGAATCTGGATTTTGCTGGCCTTATTATCGGGGATCAAATTCCCGCCACTGTCAAACCAAGAGGAAAACTTTATCTCAATCTCTATGTTGTTTGCCCACATACGTGAGTAGAGTGTACCTCCTTAACCGCGGTTTCCCTTCACGCTGAATCAGTTAAACACTATCAACCTCAGAAAGAAAGCATTCATAAATTTTATTATTTTGTTGATATTTAATGCCGCTCTGAATAGCCGAGTTCGCGTATCATTGGCCATTTTTTTTTGCCTGTGATATTAAGTCCAACTGTTTAACATGTATAAGATGGCTGTTTATCTTGTCGATCTAAAAACTTTCAGATTTCTCTATTTTTGAGTTCCAGATGCTATTTATTTTTTGTCCGGAACACTGCATCTATTTATTTTTTTTCGTGAAGAGTTCAATAATGTTTCCTGATATACTATATATATTTGTCTTTTTTTTCTCATTCGTGGACGACATGATTTTTCGAGGCTTGTTTAGAGACCAAGTTAATGGCCTTTTAAGATTCCTTCACGTGAATCGCAGTAAAATGTTGAATATGTTGTATATTACAGGAGCGGGCACCAGAATTTTAGAAATACCAAAATGGGACATGGCCTGGAATCGGTTAAGAACCACTGTCCTACACTTTGCTAAAGAAACAGAAATTATAAAGAAAACTATAGAACAAAAACTGCTTTACAATATTTAGCATCTAAAATTTGATAACAAAGTTACGAATTCGTATGTAAATCACACCGTCCTTATTATCTTAAAATTGTTGCTTTCTATACAATTCTCCTGAAACTGACGCTTCTAATCTCTTCTTCCCAACAAATTCTGTCACCCCTAAATCTAATAAGTTCTTTTTTTTTTTTTTTTTTTTTATTATTCCGGTCTCATCTAGGAGTTGATCTTTGAATGTTTTTCATCTTTCCCATAATTTGAAACCCTTAATATAAACTGAATTAAAACATCTTGTTTACTTCTCGTGCAACGATCAGTAGAGTTCATTCGTCTCTCACAGGTTGTATTCGTCATCTTTTATGGGATCCATTATAGTTCTTCATTGGTCATATTTTGTTTTCAATGGAAATTTAATGCCGCCCTCAGTAGCCGAGTTCACGTATCATTGGCCATTTTTTTTGCCTGTGATATTTTGTCCAACTGTTTAGCATGTATAAGATGGCTGTTTATCTTGTCGATCTAAAAACTTTCAGATTTCTCCATTTTTGACTTCCAGATGCTATTTATTTTTTGTCCATAACACCGCATCTATGTTTTTTTTGTGAAGAGTTCAACAGGGTTTACTGATATAAAAAAATCATCATCGTGATTTCGATTGTAACTTTCGAAGATTATATGATTTTTTTCCCTGTTTCATTGAAAGACAAAAATTCTATTTTAATTTCATTTATATGAAGTTCAAATTGCGCAGCAGAAGATTCTAATCTGAAAAGAAATATCTGTGATTGTTTAAGAGTTTTCGATACAAGAGTTATATCATCTGCAATATCTGTGATAGTGAATTTAGAATATAGACTAATTTTTGCTTCTTTTAATGTAAACTCAATAACTTTAGTTGCACTGCGTCGTCAATGGTAACGACACGCAGAATTTGAGCTAGTGTGTCTCTCTGTAAGACTTCTTTATTTAATCATTTCACCCCAACCAAGGTGGTAAAGCCACTAAAACTCACAGTAGTTAATGATTGACATTGCATTTAAATTTTTACAGATCAAAATTGGCTCTAAATCATGGAGTCGGAAGAGTGTTCCAGAAGCGATAGAAGAAAGTACTAGCATAGAACTTACAGTTTCCCCTAATTCAATTAATGAGACCTTACATTATTCAGACTGTTATCCTCATCGCTATATTCACAACGTTTCCACCGATGTACGCTCTGGCCTTCTTCAGGTGATTGGAATTTCGAACCGAACCCTTTATTTCGTTCACCGGGGAAGACTGTTCTAGTTCCTCATCGGGATGTCTCAGTTATTTCCTTTTAACTCAGCTCACCAAGTTTTTGGTACACCACTGCTGTGGCCTGGTATTGAACTCACAACTCTTTGGGTCTTGTCACTGGATCTAACCAACGTCTTTATCTACTGGGCCATGTGTCCTCATATCTCAGATAGTACGTTTTATAAACATTTTTTATAAGCTTTGCACTTTATATGGAATCAAAATCTTTTGTGAAGCCCAGAAATATTAGTTCTACCGAAAGCTGTTAGTTGTTATACCCGAAATTCTGTCATTTAAGTGGCATACACCATACACGTTTCGATTAAGGATTGACTGAGCAGAAGATTTTTTCCGCAGTAGATTGCCGTTTCTTTATGTTGTGAATTATAATATTCATTGCCATATTTTATTTAATGAAATTTATAAATGTATACATCGAAGAAAAATTATTTTGAACGGACTCATTAGGCCAAGGGCGTGGTGGTTCACCCCTGCTTGGTTATAAAAGATAGACACTTCGACTAATCATGGGGTTCTAGCAAATAGTCACTACTGATGGTCTTTCTGCTCTAGTGGAATCAATTTGACAACTACTTATCGTGCTGCAGAAACTAAATACATTAAAATGGCGACTAGGATAGCGGATTAACGCGGAAAAGTGACGTACACTTTTTTCTTTTCTCAGTTGCAAAAGGCAGCAAATTCAAACGAAGAATTTGAAGACTCAAAGTGTTACGAACTCTGCTGATAATATGGCCTTGTTTGGAATTATCAAGGAGTGGTCAAGTGAAGAAGAAGAGTAGAAGAACTATGTAGAAAGATTAAATTTTTACTTCACGGCTAATGATATTACCAAAGAGGATAAGAAACGAGCCATTTTATTGTCGGTGGTTGGTGCTAAAAATTACGGTGTTTTAAGAAGTCTTAATTGTTCATTTGGTTTTAACAGACCAAATGAACAATTGTATGAAAATTTATGTCAGTTAATAGAAAGACATATTCACCCTGTGTCAAATGAAGTACATTAGCATTTTCTTTTCTATTCTAAGGAGAAACAGTGAAAGTGGAGGCATCAACCAGTACATTGCTACGCTTAGGAAATTGTCAGAGAAGTGTAATTTTGGGGACAAGATTAATGAACACCTAAGAGATAGAATAGTAGATAGAGTAAGGTATGAGAAAATTCAACAACGACTACTCAGTGAAAGAGTATTAACATTGGAGAAAGCTTTAGAAATAGCAGTAGCTATTACGTCTGCTACAAAATTCTTCAAGAAAATGCTAAGTTCACAAGGGGATGGCCAAGTAATTCTACGACTTCACTGCAGAAAATGGGAATGTTACCGTCGTGGAAATATCAACCATTTTGCAGACAAATGTTCTTTCAAGGAAAAAAAAACTATTTTAAATGCGGCCGAACAGGACATAGTCGCCGGAAGGGAAGACAGGATGGTAATAAACAAATTTGGTGTGGGGGTGGGGGGAAATAAAAGAGAGAAAAAGAACGGTAGGGAACAACCTAGATGAGAAGTTCCTGAAAACTCTTGAAGCCATTCGAGTGTCGACTGACACTCTAGCAAATGATGCAATGATTTCTCCAGGGTACACTCAAATGCCAAATGCAACTGAGATGCCTAAGGTTAGGGTTAGGGTTAGAATTCGGGAGTTGCCATCCAGGTTTAGGGAGTGGGTAGTAAAAGTAAAGTTTGGAGGTCTTGTGAATTATAATATTTATTGTAAAATTCTATTTAATGAAATTTATGCATGTATAAATTTAGAAAAAAAACTAGTTATTTTGGACGGACTCATTAATCCAGGGGGTGTGGTGGTTTACCCTGGGTTAGTTATAAAAGATGGGCACTAATCAGCAGTCCTAGCAAGTAGTCAGTACTAATCATTTTTTTAAAAATTCCATTCTGGTTAAACCCTCATAATGGATCAAGAACTAGGGGAATTCTATGTAGGAACGTTTTGTTAGAAATCTTTATTGCAATAGCTTTTAATGTTATACTTCTATAGTTCTCTTTTCTTGGAAATGGTAAAATTCTACTTTTTTCGCAAACATTTGGTGCCTGATCATCAAGCAAAGCATCATCTAAGTAAACAATCTTTCATACCTCTGCAGGAATTTCAAGCAAATCTGCTTCTTTGTTGTTATTAGTAGATGGATAGCGTCAAACTATTATTGATTCAGAGTACAATTGATAAATTGTCGTCTAAATTATGAAAAAAAAAATGAAAATAATACTGCCACAATAACACTTTAAGTTGGTGAATGCTGCCATAATCCTCGCCTTCAGTTCATCTTTGGTGTTATAGTTTCTTTTATATCTTTGAGACCGCCTTACATTCGCTGCCATATTGGAAGACAGATTTCAATACTCTTTTCTTTGTTTCTAACGAAGGGATTTTTTATTTCTTAATACTCTGCTTAGTTTTTGGAATGCATCTTTAGCCATCCCAATACGTCTTCGGATGTCAGTGTCGCACATTCCGTCCTCTGTTAGAACACTTACCTGATATTTAAATTTGTGTATTTGATTGATTTTAGTATCCCCGACCAGTAATTTGCATTTTGGGCTCACTCTGTCGTTTATGTTTAGTCCTCTACTCGCTTTCCTTCGCTACCTTCTGTAGGAGGTTTTGTACTTTCCTTTTAGTGTCTGCCATTTGCATATCTTATATTGTTAAGATTATGGTCGCCAATAAGGAATCCTGAAAGGGCTTGTAATTCTTTCAAAATCGCCTCACTGTATAGGTTGAATAAGTCCGGTGAGAAGACACATCCTTGTCTCACACTCCTTTCTATTTTTGCATATGTGCTAATCTAGTAAAATATCCAGCACTGGCTGCATAAACACTGCAACCCACTTTGCCAACTTGTGCTGCGTCGACAAAATTGGATAAAAATTAACATTATCTTTTTAAATAAACCATAGAATCGTTTTAATATTCAGTCAAGAAATGTTGAAAAAATAAATATTTGTTGAGTAATGCTTTTTACATCATTTACTTGTGTGCGTTTCACTGAGACACACACACATGCATACAAAGACTTACAGTCACGCCTATATAAAAACGTAGAAATTTATTTATACTTACATGTTATATACATTTATTTTAGTATTTTTCGGGAAGGTATCATTGTTTGATAAGTAGTAATGTTTATCTATTTATATACACATATATAGAGAGATAGATTTTTTTTTTTAAATTCCAGGAATAAATGTTTTCTTTGATGTCTACCGTTTTATACTTGCCTTTCCGTGTCTGATATCAGCACTATGCCATCTGCATATCTTATATTGTTAAGATTGTGGCCGCTGATAATGAATCCTGGTAGAACGTCTAATTCTCTCAGAATTGCCTCGCTGTACAAGTTGAATAAGTCCTGCGAGAAGACACGTCTTTGTCTTACACTGATTTCTATTTTTGTTTTTCTGCTGAACTCATTTTCTGTGCGTATTCAGGCGGTTTGCTGCCAGTGTAGATTCTTGATTATTCTATTGTCTTTTCCGAATATGTCAAGATTTCTGAGCATCGCTATCAGATTTTTGTAGCGTACATTGTCAAATGCCTTTGTGTAGTCTATAAAACACAGGTACACGTCTTTCAGCCTTTGTATTGCTTTTTCTGATAACATCATGAGCATAAATATAGTCTTCCTTGTTCTGGTGTCTTTGACGAACCCACACTGTTCTTGTCCTATCTCTGGTCTGATTTTGCTGCGCGCTTTATTCATCTGAATTCGGATAATGAGTTTTTTTTTATGTGACTCATTAGGATGATTGTCTGGTGGAGTTCATTCGTTTGCGCCTGGTTTCTTAGGCAGTGTTATGTACATAGATTTGCTTAGGTCTTCTGGTATATCCCCACTCTTGTAAATTTAATTTATTATTTCTTTGATCTTGTCTATGCCAATGTTGTCTAAGGCTGCCAGCATCCCTATTGCAATTCCGTCTGGCCCTGCTGCTTTGTTTCTGATCAATTTGGCCAGTGCAGCTTCCATTTCGCTTTTTGATATTTCCGGTCGCTCGATATTTCTATGTATTGCTGGTTGTTCTCTATCGTCGTGGAAGTGTTCTCCTATATATTCGTTCTATCGCCGAAGTATTTTCCCATTCTCTAATATGTCTGTCCTTGGATTTTATGCGACCTGCTGATGATAATGTCTTTTGTTCTGTTCGTTCTCTTATTTTTTTATGCATATTTTCTTTGTCTGTGATAATCTTTCTATTTCTGCGCATTTTCGTCCAGTCATTCTCCTTTAGTCTGTCTGAATTTGTTTCTTATTTCTTTGTATAGTTTTCTGTATTCCATTCTGTCTTGACATTGTTTTCTGTCTCCTTTGCATCATACCAAAATATCATTTGTCCTCCATTAGTTTTTCTTCTTCCTCCATTTTTCTTTGGGATGATCTCGTTTGATGATGTCACTAAAGCTTCTCTTGGTCTGTCACACTTTGAGTTTCCATTTCCATTTCTCCTCTCGTATCTTCTTTTCACACTGTCCATATATCTGGGTTCTGTTATATTGCAATTTGGGTGTTGCGTTAGGCTTTTCAGTTTTCGTAGTTTCTTTCTTAGTTTACATATAACAGGGAGGTGATCGCTTCGTAGTCGGCATTTGGATCGGTTTTGCAGTGAACTGCATTCATGAATATCATGTTGTAACTTTTGCTTTTTACTTTCTCCTCCTGGTTTTCTTTATGTTCATTAGGAATTATGGAAGGTTAATTATTAATAAGTAAAATAAAACACTTTTTTTAGTTCAACAGCCAACAGCGACAGGCAATGTGTGATGTGTTTTGGCTATTTATATATGGTGATCAATGATGCATTATGGGTAGGGATATCGCTACCCATATTGAACAATTGATCAACATATATAAATAGTCAAGCCAAAACACAACACACATGACCTGAAGATTACTCAATCAAGCTCAAAGTCCACTATATATATATATATATATATATATATATATATATATATATATATATATATATATATAAAGTGCGCAGGTATGCAGAAAATAGAAAAGAACACGTTGGGTGCATAATCCGGGGTTCTTTAGTATTTTTATTTTTAAGAAGACAGTGCTCCATACAGAAGTAGAGCTTTATTATAATAACGTTTTTTGTTTAAAAAATATGATTTCTTCGCTATATAAGAGTTCTCATGTTTCAAAAACGAGAGCTAGACTCTGCAGAATCTTCCGACCTTGTCGGTCTATTTATACTGTACAATCTAACCGCCCACCGTAAACAAGACATTGGGGACATCAGGCTATACATAGATGACGGGCTCATGGTAGTGAGGAGCTCTACAAATTTTAAAACAGAGAAAATTAGAAAGATAATTTATAAAGAATTCGGGAAACTAAATTTAAAAACAATAGTCAACACTAAATTAAAAAGAGTAAACTTCCTAGACGTAACCCTAGACTTAACGAACAACGTTCACCTACCTTACAGAAAACCTAATACTAATCCCCTGTATGAACATCCTAAGTCAAACCACCCTCCATCTATAATTAAGCATACATCCACATCAATAGAGAAAAGAATAAGTATGAACTCAGCAAATAAGGAAATATTCCAACTACACAGTAGTTTTTATAACACAGCCCTGAAAAACAGCGGATACAAAAACGCTGACATAACCTATAGAAACGATAGTACCAATAATAAGAAAAACAGGAAAAGAAAGATCATCTGGTATACCCTTCCGTACGACCAACTGGTCAGAACCAAACTAGGCCATAAGTTCCTAGCTTTAATTGAAAAGCACTTTCCCACTAATAGCAACTTTAGCGACATCTTTAACAAAAACACCTTGAAATTGAGTTACAGATGCACTGAAAATATAGAAAGAATCATAAAAAGACATAATAAGAAATTCCTAGAAAAACACGCAAACCAAAACAGTAATAAAACTCATAAACTAAAATTAGATAGAAATAACGAAAAATTATGTGATTGTAGAAACCCTAAAAACTGCCCGTTGGAAAATAAATGCCTCACAAAATCTGTGGTATACCAATGCACTATTTCATCCATTGAGAGTCCTAACACTGATAGGATATACATAGGCTCAACGAAGAAAAATTTTAAAATTAGATGGAGACAACACAAAAGCTCCTTCAGCAATATTCAAAATAGAAATCAGACATCTCTATTCCAATATTTCTGGCATCTAAACGAAACGAATAAAACACCAAAAGTAAAATGGAAAATAGTAAATAAAACAAGAACTTGTAAAACCTGGGATGACCCATGCCCTTTATGCCTACACGAAAAACTACACATCATTAAATTTCTAAATAATGAAAAATTATTAAACCATAGGCAGGAGTTTACGGTTTTTTGCCGACATCAACAAACTTTCGCATTAAATAATTAGCATAAAAAAAATCCCATAGCTAAATAAAAGTCTTAAAAGCTTAGTAAAATCATTAAATAGGAAAAACCCCTTTTGTATTCGTCAAAAAACAAAAAAACAAACAAATTGAAATTCAGTGCAATACGATTTGTATATAAAACACCCACTTGAAT